AGTCCTTGGACAGGACTCCTATATCAAAATCCACCCACCCAGGGTTCAAGGACCATTGCGGAAGAGGGGGCAGAAAGATTGTAAGAGCCAGGGAGGAGGTGCATGACCATACGGAAATAGTCCTACAGGCTCCTGGAACTCTTCTCATATGAACTTATAGCAATGGTGTCAGCATGCACAACACCCATGCAAACTTAAGCAGACAAAAACCCAGCACAGAACTGTGGAAATGAGCAGCAGGCCCCAATCTTAGTCGAAGAATTATTGGCAGCTGATTACTACTGGGTGAGGAAGAGATGATCTTCTTAAAGGGAGGGAGTCTAGATAGGTTGACTAGATCCCAGTGGATGAACTTGCACTGAGGGACATCTGGGGACATGATAGATTTTAGATCTGGTTTACATGATAGATTTTAACACAAATGACAGACTGTATGAACTCCAGTGGGGGTGACTATGGGAGGGTGCCAAAGGGAAAGGGGGTATAAAGATGATTTTTAGTATGAAAAACATGAAAATTCAATAACTAAAAAAAAAAAAGACACTTGGTATTGACCTTTGACCTCCACATGCACATGTGTACATGAACCTGCACGCACATATCCACAAGAATATGAACAGCACACACACATTTGTCTAACTCAAAGTCCCAGAGATTTTTTTTTCTTTTAGAGACAGGGTCTCTTGGATATGAAGCAGCCTTGAACTTGCTATGTAGCAGAGGATGACAGTGAACTTCCAATATTCTTGCTTCCACCTCCAGAGCACTGACACCCCAGGCATGCACCACCATACCTAGTTTATGTGGTGCTAGAGACTGAACCCAAGGCCTGTGCATGCTAGGCAAGCATTCTACTAAGTAAGCTACATTTCCAGCCCTTTTATGTTTTCTTATAAAAATTTTATGTTTTTTCATTTAGGTCTTAGAGTCATTTTTGCATATGATACAAGATAGGCACTGAATTTTTTTTTTCTCTTTTTGAGACAGGGTCTCCCTGTAGCCCCAGTTGGCCTGGAACGCTCTGTGTAGACCAGCTTGGCTTTGATCTCACAGAGATCGATCTGCCTCTGCCTCCCAAGTGTTGGGACCAAAGGTCTGGGCCACCACGCCTAGCAGAAATTTTTTTGCATATGGATACCAATTGTTATAACAATATTTATCAAAACTTTGATTTTCATTTTTTCTGATGCTATGTAAAATAATCAAATATGGGGTTTGTTTTGAGACAGAGCCTCACTACATAGTTTTGCCTGGTCTGGAACTTGCTATGTAGACCAGCCCGAACTCACAGAGATCCACCTCTGCCTCCCAAGTGCTGGGATTAAAGCGGTGCACCACCACACCCAGCCTGAGTACTGTACTTTTATAATAACTCGACATTAGATGATGATAGTCTTTTCACTTTCTGTTTTATCAAATCAGTTTTCTCTCTTCTAAATCCTTTGTGTTTCTCTATGAAGTTTATAAAAATAAAAACACAATGGGATATGCATTGCATCTGTACATAAATTTGAGAAGAATTAGTATCTTAAAAATATTGTCCTCCAATCTATGAATGTGGTATATCTTTCCATTTATTTAGGCCTTATTTAGTTTTTCTCCACAGTGTTTGTTTTTTCCCCTGTAGGTCTCACACATGTTTTGTCATGTTTATCCTTGTATATCCATGTATATCACAGTCTTTGATGTTATTACAAAGGTATTTTAATTTTTTTGACTTTTGATTAGTCATTGCTAGTATATAGGCATGCAATTGATTTTGGTATATTAGTCTTGTATCTTGCAACTTTGCTGTTATGGGGTAATTTACATGTTCAAGTCCTAACCCCAGTAACTTAGAATGTAATTGCTGGCGTGGTGGCCCACGCCTTTAATCCCAGCACTCAGGAGGCAGAGGCAGGTGGATCTCTGTGAGTTCAAGGCCAGCCTGGTCTACATAGTGAGTTCCAGGACAGCTGGAGCTACAGGGAGACCCTGTCTCAAAAAGACCAAAAAAAAAAAGAAAGGAGCTGAATTAAAAAAAATATTTTATTTATTTGAGAATCTCAAACAGGAATATTGTATTTGCATTATTTCTACCCATTCCAGTCCCCCTCCAGTTCCTCCCATGTCCTCCCTCTCCCTCACAATTCCTCATCCTCTTATTTGATTATTGTTACATATATACATGATTTATACACACACACATATAATGCATTGTGTCCATTTAGTAGTACCTGTGTGCTTGTGTGTACCTGTTTGTATCTAATTAGTGATTAGATAATCTCTCAGAGAACTAATCCCTGGAGAAAACGGATTCTCTTTCCCTCAATATCCATTGATATCCCCCATGCATCTTGGCATGTCAGCCGATTTTATCATTATCTCTTGTTAGACTATCATACTGTGGAGATTTGGAGATTTGGTCAGTGTAGCTCCCTCTCATATCTAGAATGCATTAACTAGCAGGAGCTGTCTTGTCCCTCTGGCCCTTACAATTTTTCCACTCTGTCTCCGGTGATGTTCCCTGAGCCTTAAGAGTTCAGATTGTATTATAGATGTATTACTTAGGACTGGGCACCTCACTGTCACTTATTCTCTATATTTTGACCAGTTCCGGAACTTTGTAACAGACTTTATTGCAAAAAGAAGCTTCTTTGATGAGTAGTGAGAGGTACACTTGCATCTAATGATTTTATTTATCTAATTGTATGTGTTTGAGTGTTTTACCTGCAGGTATTTAAGAGTACTATGCATGCAATGCCTTCAGAGGCCAGAAGAGGGCATAAGATCTCCCAGAACTGGAGTTCTAGAAAGTTGTTAACTGCCGCGTGGGTGCTGGGAACTGAACTAGGGTCCTCTGCAAGAGTAGTCAGTGCTCTTAACCATTGAGAGATATCTCCAGCCCCCTAAGAATTTTTTTTTTTTTTTTTTTTGCCTCCCTGCAACCCCAGCTGGTCTGGAACTCCCCAAGTAAACTGGCTGGCCTTAATTTTGCAGAAATCTCACTGCCTCTGCCTCTAAAGTGCTGGAATTACTCCTGTGTGTGCCTCTATGCCCCTTTTTGTGATGCTGGGTAGCGAACCTCAGGCTTCGTGCATGTTAGAAAAGCAGTCTACCACCTAAGTTATATCCCCAGACCCCAGATACTCAAAATGTGTCTCAAAAAGTGTCTGGCAAATAATAAAAACTACATAAAATATTAACATTCATTTAAAACCATAGGAGAACAGCTAGAATCCATGGTAAAGCCTACCATGCTGGCTTCCAAATTCAAGACTTCCACCCTACCTAACCTCTGAAATTCTCAGTGTCACAGAATTTTAGAGTATTGCCTAGTCCTTCAACCAGGAGTGCCTTCTGCATGTAATATCTGACAGCTGCTGGTTGACCATGGATTGCTTAGACCACGTGTGCATTCAGGATGGCTTTGTTGCTCAGCTAGGGGAAGGCTGATGGTGTCTGCCTGTGTGAGGTGACAGCTACTGGGAAACAGCTTCCCCGGGCTGGAAAGATAACTTTCTGTGCTTTGTGTGTACTTTACCATACTCTTCAGTTGCTTCTACCTTGACACCTGGCAGGGTTCTTGGCCTCTCCAAAGGCCATGGCCTCTCAGACTAAACTCTAGGACTTTGGGCCTTCTGGGGTTGGCAACTCCTCTTTCTTGCCACTAGGGAGCCAAAGGAGGAGTTCAGATAGAGGTGGCTTCTATGTCAGTAACCATCTAGGGCTGAGTTAACTCTTGAAGAAACTCTAGGGTCTCTGTTTATTCAGCCCCATTTAGGGAAGGAGGGGAATTCTGTCCAATCCTTTCGTGGTGAGTTTTAAAAAAATTCAGAAAGGCCTCGAGAGTATCTGATTCCAGGAATTCTTGGCTGGAGTATCTCTCGGTTTCAGTTCTTTACTGACTGAACAGCAGGTTGCTTTGCTCGGCTTCAACAGTATTGTTACATAAACAAGTAAGAGATCTGTTTGCTACAAGCAATGTCAAAATTTCCATCTGAATTTTGGCTAATCAGGATAGAAGGACTGATTCAAGCTTTGGATTTTTAAATCTCCTAAGCCTTGCAGCTGTGTTTCCCTGTTTCCACTAAATGCTAGAGGTTAAGATTTAAGGAATTATGCAAAGTGCACTTACAGTGCCAGGGCTTAAGGGGGGTGGGGGGAAGGACTCCTCTGCCCTGTAACATTGACTGGTGCTCCCCTGTCCTTTTGTTTGTTTTTGTTGTTGTTGTTTTCTTTTTCTCTGAAGGCAGAGAAGAAATCTTTTAAAAACAACTCCGTCTACAGGAGACTAAGCAAGGGGTTTGGGACACTGATCAAGACTCAGTTCCAGGACTTCTTAAAATAACTTGGAGAATTAAATGCAAAAGTATGTGAATGACACACTTGTTGTGTGCATTTATAAATGGGTAACATATCACCTTTACACATCTAGCAATCACGTGGCAAACGGTTCATCTGCCCACAGCCCAACCAATCTCCCAAAATACTACTGCGATGCACGTGAAATCCGCAATTTAGCAAGGAGATGCCTACAACATACCCTTTTTGAATTTGCCTATTTGTGTACAAGAACACAGGCCGTTTATGCAGAATTTCAGCCCATTTTGAATGCTAAAAAGGTCTCCACAAGCTGCTTTGTTTAGAACACTCAAAACTATTAAAAACATTTTCAAAAGTAGTTTCATAAAACTAGACATCAGCAAACCTTAGTCAAGGGGTGGAAAATAAATCGTATATCTTTAACCCGCAAAAGTTGAAAGGTTCTCTCTCTCTCTTTTTTTTTTTTTTCTGTTAGCTAACAATGGAAACTTTAAAAAAAAAAAAGTGTTTCCCTCCCTCGGTCTTGCCAAGCAATAGAAAAAAAAAAAAAAAAGAAGAAGAAAAGAAAAACTTGTTCCGCTGAGTTCAACCCCAGACAGGCTCACAACTTCCTTCCTGCTTTCCTCGCCCAAGCCCCCGCCTCTCTGCCTCCTCCTCCCTCCCCCCATAGTTTTTTTTTTTTTTTTTTTTTTAATCTTACAATGAACAAATACTGAAGTAGCCGGGAGCAGACGCTGACTAGGGGTAGTATCTCCACCACCGAGAAGGCGCGCAGGGTCGGGCTGGCGCTGCCCGGGCGGGGATCGCCTGGCCCCTGCGCTCTTTCACATCCCTCTTTTCTTTCTTTCTTTCTTTCTTTTTTTTTTTTCTTCCATACATTGTTGAGGAAACCTTGCGGGTGCATTTTTACTTTTAAGCCACCTTGCCCCCAGGAGCCCTGCGTCCCTGGGGCCGGTCGCGGGCCCAGGAGCCGGGAGTCTGAACAGCCAGGAGTCTTAACATTTGCAGGTAAGCGTGGCGACTCCTTCCTGGCCCGGGCCTGCGAACCCCTCCGACCGTTCCGGGGTCGGGACACCCCCCGGAGGACTGAGCTGGGGAGCCTCAGCCCGGGGTCTGATCTGCGGGGGCGGCGTGGAGTGACGGGGCCGACCGGGCGGAGAGGAGATGTCGCTTCTCCCACCCGCCTTCCGGGCCGCTGCCTGCCTCCCCCGCGCGCTGCCGCTGTGGGCGTCTGAGGCTCCCGCCCGGAGCAGCTCCGCTGGCGCCAGGCGAGGCTGGCCCGGGATGCGGGGAGGGAGGCCCTACCCTCCGCCTCGCTGCTGCCGGCTCCGCACGCCGGCCCGGAGGCTGGCAGACTCTCAGGCCTGCACACTTACAAGGCCTCCGGGCTGCAGCCGCGCCAGCCCAGAGTTCCTCCAAGGGGTGTGGGTCCCGGAACGCACAGGGACCGCTGGGTCCTCGCCCACAGGGCGCGTGCAGGACCGAGGGGCAGCGAGCATGCACCCCCCCACCAACACACACACACACACACACACACACACACACACACACACACGCACACGCACACGCGCGCGCGCACAGGCGCCGCTCGGTGCCCCCCCCCACGGCGCGGGCCCGGCCCACGGCCAGCGAGCATCCACCCCCCCACCAACACACACACACACACACACACACACACACACACACACACACGCACACGCACACGCGCGCGCGCACAGTTCTGGTTCCGGCACAAGATATTGTAGTTTTGGGGCGCGTGCAAACACTTGTCTGGGGACAGGCGACCAGGCCAGCTCTGGGAAGTGCTTCTGCTGCGGTCCCGGCCCCCTCCCAGGACTTGGACACAGTCCCAAGTCGGGGGTCTCTACCTGCACTCAACCGCCCTCCCAGGTCTGCGCCCCGAGGCGCTTTGGGGAAGGCAGGTCGGGGTCAGGTTCCCTGTGACTCGGTCTCGGATGTCCCGAGAGGGTGGAGCAGGGCTGCATGTCATCCTAGACAGCTGGTGTTTGCTCAGGCTAGGGGACGCCGGCCAGCCTTATCCCGCACACACTGCGTAGGGTCCGAGTTGGAGCTGAACCTCATCCTCCCTCCCTCATCTGTGTGGCTGCAGAGACGAATATTAGAATTTGGGGTTCGAAAGGTCCTTAGAGCGCATCCCATGCCGGGGGTTGGGGTGGGTGGACCACATTGGGGCAACACTGGGGACACCTAGGCTCGCGTCTTCGCTGAGTATCACGGTGCCTGTAGGGGAGGCATCCAGGGGCGCCCTGGCCCAGGCAGACTGGGGGGGGGGTCCCGGGGCTCCCTGGGGAGGGTAGGCCGTCTTCACCCTCTGCTCTGCGCCCTCGGGGATTCTGACATTTCTCCTTGTGTCTCCACAGAGGCTTCATCGTTTATGGAGCTTTGGGCGGGGGCCGAGCCCGCGGTCGAGCCCCCGGCCCGCCGCCTAGGCCATGCTGCTCGGTCTGCGCGAGGAGCCGTGGCCGCCGGGCCTCCGGGACTGAGCCAGGAGCCGCGGGAGGAGGAGGCGCCGGCGGATTGGGATCGCCGGCCGCGGCGGCGGGCAGCGCGGCGGACCCAGTACTATGGCTGTGTACTGCTATGCCCTCAATAGCCTGGTGATCATGAACAGCGCCAACGAGGTGAAGAGCGGCGGCGGCCCACGGCCCAGCGGCAGCGAGACGCCCCAGCCCTCGGAGAGGGCCGCGCTCAGCCCCGGCAGCGTCTTCAGCCCCGGGAGAGGAGCCTCCTTCCTCTTCCCCCCAGCCGAGTCGCTGTCGCCGGAGGAGCCTCGGAGTCCCGGGGGTTGGCGCAGCGGCCGGCGCCGGTTGAATAGCAGCAGCGGCGGCAGCAGCAGCACCAGCAGCAGTAGCAGTGTGGGCAGCCCGAGTTGGGCGGGCCGCCTGCGAGGGGACACGCAGCAGGTGGTGGCGGCTAGCACCCTCTCCCCACCCGGGCCGGAGGAGGCCCAGAGGAAGCTGCGGATTCTGCAGCGTGAATTGCAAAATGTGCAGGTGAACCAGAAAGTGGGCATGTTCGAGGCGCACATCCAGGCACAGAGCTCTGCGGTCCAAGCGCCCCGAAGCCCACGTTTGGGCAGGGCACGTTCGCCTTCCCCGTGTCCCTTCCGAAGCAGCAGCCAACCCCCTGGAAAGGTCCTGGCCCAGTGCTCCCAGAGTGAGGAGCGGAGGACAAAGTCTTGGGGGGAGCATTGTACAGAGACCCCAGATGCCGACTTGGGGAGAAGAGGACTCAGCCCACACCCCTCGAAGGACAAGGAGCGAGTGGCCCCTCTCCCAGGCCCAGCCAGCCCCACGAGGACGAGGTTAGGGACTCAAAGTCCAGCCACTTCAATAAGGATGGAGAGAAACACCACTGCCAGTACCCCCTGTGGCTCACCCACAGCTATGGAAATTGACAAGAGGGTTGCTCCCTCACTGGAGCCCTTTGGAACTAGCTTAACATTGGCCACCAAAGTGGCAGCCTCAGCCACATCCCCAGGGCCACACCGTGGACACGATTCTGCTGTCTTGGAGTCAGCCGCTGAGCAGGGCCTGGGCCCCTGGGAGGCTCAGATGGAGAGACCTGAGCAGTTCCTGGGCAGGGAGACAGGCTTAGTCCCAGAGCCCGGCGGGACTGATGTTAGAGAGCCCTCTGGGAAGATGGAGAGAGGAATTCATCCTGGTGGTGGGCAGGGCTCTCAGACACCTGAAGTAAGCAAAACGTCAGAAGGGATCCTGAATGTCCAAAACTCAGAGCTGTCTGAGGCCCAGAGATTTGGGTTTGGAGGGCCAGGAGACTTGGGCTCTGTAGGGCCTGAGAAGGCAGGAAATGGGGTTCTCGGGACCCAAGAATCCCAGCAGGCCCTGGAAATTGTGGGGGAAGGGTCTCCAACACTGGGCTTGCTTGGGGGCAGCCAGGCAGCACAGCCAGGGACCCAGGAGGTGGAGGCAGGAATTCCTCATAGCAGAGTGCTGGAACCTTTACCCTGTTGGGAAGTGGCAAAAGGTCTGAAAGGCTCTCAGTGCCTCCCTGGGGACAGGATGGGGATGCAGCCTGAGAGTTCCAGGGCTTGGCTGAGCACCATGGAAGAAGCTGGCCTGATTTGGACGTGTGACAGAGGGGTACAATCAGAGGGGACTTGGGAAAGCCAGCTGCAGGACAGCAATGTTGACCCCAGCTGCCAGCAGCTGCCCCCAGATCAGGACAAAGCCTCCCTGAAATTCAAGACCTGCAGTCCCAGCACCATCCCTGCCATCCCAGCTGTCATCATCACAGACATGGGTGCCCAGGAAGATGGGGGCTTAGAGGAGTTGCAAGGATGCCCTCGGGGGCCCCTGCCCCTGAGGAAGCTGTCCTCCTCCTCAGCCTCTTCCACAGGCTTCTCCTCTTCCTATGAGGATTCAGAGGAGGACATTTCTAGTGATCCAGAGCGCACCCTGGACCCCAATTCAGCCTTCTTGCATACCCTGGACCAACAGAAGCCCAGAGTGGTGAGTGCTGCCTGAAAGTTTTCTAGAATTCCTCCTGCTTTTAGCTGACCTCGGATGCCCTGTGTTCTCTCTGGTTTTCTTACTTTCTGTTGAGTGGTAAAGACTTTGAGTAGGGCCCTAGGGTGGGCACAACTAATGTTTCTTTACAGGTGAGTTTGCTGTGGTCTAGGGAGGGCGCTGACCATTCACTTTGTAGGCTGAGCCATGAATTTGAGTCACTCCCACATTTACATCTCTAAAAACAAGTTTTTAAGGTACTTCCTGCAGAATCCCAGTCTGGAACACAAGACACACGAATGTCAACAAAAATTACTAATTCCCAAAGAGTGAACAGAGCTGCCCACTGTGACCTTATTTGATCAAGTGAAACAGTTTTGTGATTCATTCAGACTGACAAGGATATCATCAGCTTCACTAAGCCTCTACTACTAGGCAGGAAAATGAGTGATGTGATTATCTGACAGGGCCCTGAGCACTGCAGATGTGGTTGTGGCTGGTTTATGTGATGAGCAACCTCCAAGCCTCAGTAATTTAAGCAGGACTTGGCAATATTAGTGTGGTTAACATAGCTAATGTGCAGTTTGATGTGTGAGTTAAAAGGAAAACTCCTTTGAGCCAAGTAAGTACTTTCTTTAGTAATAGAATGCTTCTTTTGGATGAGTGGTCTGAGTTAGGCACACTGGGTTAGGGTGTCGAGTTAGGCACACTGGGTTAGGGTGTCTGCTAAGGGATGTGGGTTGGGACAGGTCCATTTCAGGTGTGTTTTCACATGTGTATTTGGGTTTATCACACTGACATCTTGTTCTGGTCTGGCTGTGGCAGTGACAGAAGTTCATCCCTGCTCCATGGTTAATCCCAGCTGTGGGCTGAGATCAGTCTCTTTCAGAAGCTAGCACTTCTCAAACAAGCTAGCCTCTCTCAAACTTCTCCAGAGAGGATGGGGGATTTCCTCACCTGACTTGAAGAGGTTTAGGGCTACCCTGGGGAAAAGCTATATGGTATTATAGTGGGGTAGCCTTGTGGTTTCAGCTTGAATGCCAAATGGCACCCACTGTGCCTCATAACGTTCTCTGTCCCTACTGGGTGCTTTATAATGAAGTTCTGCTCAGTGTGCTTTACTAAAGGATTTTTAAAAATATTTTATTTATTATTTTATTTTATGTGTATGCATGTATTGCCTGCATATAGGTAAGTGCACCTGTGTCATGCAATGCCCGCAGAGGACAGAAGAGGCTGTCAGATCCCCTGGAACTGGAGTTACAGACAGTTGTTAGCTGCCATGTGGGTGCTAGGATTTGAACCCGGGTTTTCTGCAAGAACACTCAGTGTTCTTAACTGCTGAGCCATCTCTCCAGCCCCCTTACTAAGGGATTTTTAGACTCTACAATATGAATCTTTTTGGCTTCCACTTTAGAAATCAGTCTAGCTTTGAAGATCAATAATTTCTTTCCCTGAAACTTTGCTTTCTGCTGGTGATCTAGAGGCAAATATGCATGCAAAATCTAATCCTAATCAGTCTGGCATTTTGTGTCTAGGACAGGGCCCCAGACATCTCACACCTGCTGTCAGGAATGGGCACATCACCTTTAGAGGGGTATGGTCCACCTGGAGGAGATGGTGATAACAGAACAAGGGGAAAATGCTTTTCTCTGAAGGTGAGGCCCAATTTCTCTCCCCTCCTGCTCAGCAGTTAGGGGCCTAGTGAGTAAGAGATGATCCTCTACCCTTTTTTTCCCATTTGCTTTGAAACCCTGAAATGTGGCTGGCACACCCAAAGTAGCTTTAACTTGTTCTCCAAGTTTCCATTTGCCTTTTCTTATGGTGGATTAGCAGCTCTTACCAAGTGGTTATCAAAACAGTTTGTATATCTTCACTTTTGAAAAGAAATCTTGTCTGGAAATGACTTAAAGGGGAGATAAATAATGACAGGTAATCTTTTTTTTTTTTTTTTTTCATTTGTCAGAGTTATGCCAAATGAGAACCCAGAGCAGTAAAAGGCCCAGAGGTAGAAATGAGGTGCTGTAGACCCACCTCCCACCTTTGAACAGGTTTTTAGACACCTACAGAGTGGAGCCAGTGGGGAGGAAAATCCCCTGTAGCTTTGCTGTCAGCATGAGGCTGATGGGGAGAGTGTATTCAAGTGAGTGAGTGTGTGTGCATGTGTGTGTAAAACTGGAAAGTATGGGGATCCTAGGGACTTTTGCACTTTGATTGAACATTTGTACTATAAGCAGAGTTCTTTTCTTGCATCTGTCATACCAGAATATCTACTTATTGGATCAAAAATCACTTATTACCAAGACTGCTATTTTGTCTATAGAAGGCCAGACACCTCGATCGACTTGGCCAGCCTGTGGGCTGGCCTTTTGGTGTTTGGTAGATGAAGCCTAAACAGGCCCTGTCTGTATTTCTCCCATCCCCACCTGAGTTCTTTCTGGACTTGGTGGTTTCTTTCTATACATGTTCATACTTGCCCACACTCCCTCACTCAAGCTCACACGTGCTCACCTTCGCCTTCACAGTGTTCACACCCGCTCACTCATACACGTAGATTTGAAATGGCATGTTGGAACAACCAACCCTAGTCCTCAGACTCACACTAGATTCTAAGGATTTTTACGGCTATGCTACCCTTCCACAGTTAAACCTTTCGCATATGCCCTCTGCCACACGTTCTTTGCGCCTGCTCAGGCAGGATTGTGCGTGAAGGGATATGTGGCCAGGGTCTGTCAGTGTATCTGCATTTTAAAAATCAGACACTGGAATTTGCTTGGAGGTAGTTGAATCATGCATCTATCTGCAGTGGATTAAATTTAGGTCCATTCACACTTCCTGTTCCCTGAGATCTGAACAGAACCAAATTGCCTTGAGCTAGTATGGTGCACCTGCTCTTTCACACAGCAAAAACCATCAGCTCCTGTATCATTCCTTTTAAGAGTGTCTGGGATATGAGGATTCCTGGAAGAACGTTTTATATTATAATATAGAAACATCCTACCTTAAAGAATAGATTTGATTGATTTGCTCTAAAATTGTCCTATCAGTGTGTACAAAAATTAAACAAGAGGCCAGCAAGATGGCTCAGCAGGTAGCAGTGGCTTGCCACCAAGCTGACGAACTGAGTTTGATCCCTGGGATGCACATGGTGGAAATAAAGGAAAGAAATGACTTCTGAAAATTGTCCTCTGACCTCTACATGCACGACATGGCACCCACATACCTACACACACACACACACACACACACACACACACACACACACGCACACATAAATGCATACAAATATTACATAGAAACCCCAAACACTGGCCTAGTTACCTGGAAGTTACATAAAAAAGTTGCAAAGTATGAAACCTCCACCTTCTTGGAATTTACTCTTTTTTAAGGGTCACTAGAACTTTGTTTCTTTGGACTTTTTCTTTTGTATTGAGTAATTCTGTTTTATTTCTTTTTAGTGAAAAATGAACTTGCAGGCTTAGCAAAAGCTTCAAGCTAGTTAAGACTGTTGTATGTGGTTTTGTAAAGTGTATGAAGATTTTATTTGAGTAAACTAAAATAAATTTTAAGGGATACTTTAAAAAGGTTTATCCAGTGGTGTGCATTTTTAAGTGGAAACTTTTCTTTTAAAAATACTTTTATTTATGTGGTGTGTGTGTGTGTGTGTGTGTGTGTGTGTGTTTGCTTGCATATGTGCACATGTGTATGAGTGCTTGCAGAGGCCAGAAGAGTGTGTCTGATTCCCCTGGAACTGGAATACAACCAGTTGTGAGCTGCCATGAGGGTACTGGGAACTGAACTTAAGTCCTCTGAAAAACTAAGAAGCACTCTTAACCCCTGAGCCATCTCTCCAGCCCCTGGAAGCTTTTTATTGCATGAAGATGTTGAAGGTCTAGGTTTATGGAATTTTGAATTCAGGTGGCACTTTGTTTTCTGAAGTTGGGTGACCCTTTGCTCTCAGGGATAGGGCCTTCCAGATCAGGGGTCCCCTAAGTCATTTGTGTTAGTCCTGGGAGTTATTCTAATGTTGAGAACCAAGATCCAGAAGGTAGCAGGACCCCAGGATACACACCGAGGGGCTCAGGCTCTCTGGTTCAGTGTTTTCTTTCTGTAATGTGCATCATGCAGGAGGGACGGTGATTTGGGGGATGGGGTAGGTCCACCTCTTTCCAGCTTTCTGTGACTGTTTACTTCCAGACACTCGACTCCAACCTTAGTGGGTGTGAAGTATGTCTCAGGGTATTTGAAGTATGGTGAAAATTCTTTGGCATGGACCTTGGCATCAAAGCCAAAACTGGGTACCTTGAAATGTGTGCTTTTGTGGAGGTCAGTGTATTTACTGAGACTTCCATCTTTTATCAGATTTCTTCTTTGGTTCTGGTGGTACTTTTTCATTGAAAAAGTACCATCAGAACAAAGCATCACACTGTACCCAAGGTTTTCATTAGCAGTCACTCAGATCTTAAGGCCTGTGCTGGTAGAATGTCAGAACATTAATCCCAAAAGATGCATTCTGTTGACAAATAAAAAGGGGATCTTTGTTTCCTGAAGATCTCCAAGTTTGGGAACCAAGGCTTTACAGAGCCAAAATGTCACTTCAAAGCCTCGTTTTATCAGCGATGAAAGCATTCAGCTAGCTTAAATAAAAAGAGGCTGAATCTCAACATTATTTTTCATGAGAATGTTTAAGCTCTGCAAAAATGTACTTTGAGACATACCTTGCCTTTAGATTTTTATGAGAAAATGTAATAAACCAGCCAACCTTTGCTTTCAGAGAAATGAATTTCAGATATGACATAAATCATCTTCAGACTTTTTGTTTGCAGGTACTGAATTGCTACCAAGTCTTTTCTGACATTGCTGGCACATGCTTGCTGAATGTAATAACAGATTAGATTAATTGTATGTAGTTTATTTATAGTCCTAGGAGTATTGATAACATTGTTTAGGCTTGTTTTATTTTTTCTGGTTCCAACTTAGTTACCTAAATGTAGAATTAAAAA